ATAGACAAAAAGGAGAGACATCAATCTAATCTACATAGTGTATAAGATACCACAAGTACATATTTCATTTGTAGATATTTAGTGTGTGTGTGTATATATATATATATATATTTAGTGATTATAGTAGATATTTTAAATCTGAAATGTAATACCGAGAAAATTAGCATGGCATTTACGCAATAATATATATTTTATTCTCATGGTCTATGTAGCTATAAAATTTATAATATAATATTTTGTTTAGTATATTTCATTAAACTAAATTTAGTCGCAATGAGTTATATTTTAGTAGAAGTATATATTCAGTAATTGTTAAAAAACAAATTATTGTAACTATTAACTTTCTCTAATAATTTAACTATTAACTTTTATAAATAAATGCTATTGATCAAAATGTCTTTTAACTCTTTTTTTTATTATAAATTCTGCATATGTGCAATTTATCATACAATGATATTTAGCACTTATTTAGCAAATTTAGTTTATGTCACTAATCTGTACGGTAGCTGTAAGAAGTGATGTTTCTTTCTCGTTCATCTGAGGTGTCCAGAAGTTTTGCGGCCAGGTTGTTAGGGTGATTTTAGTCTTTGTTGATATGATCTGCTTTGTTTTGCAATTTCTTCTTTGACAGTGGGTTTACCGGTTTCCTTATATGTTTGTTTGTTTGGGATATACCATCCCACGTTCAAAATGGATCTCAGTTTTTTGTTTTGTCATCTCTCTACTGTTTTTATGTTTGAGATTGTGGCTGTTCCCCATAATTGGCAAGCGTGTGACCATATCGGTTTGAGGATAGTTTTGTTTATTAATAGTTTATTGTAGGTTATTAGATGCGATTTTGTTCCAATTAGCCACCAAAATTTCCTATATCTTTCGTTCAGTTGATCTACCTTTTTACGGATGTGCGTTTTCCATAAGAGTTTTCTAAGTTTTCCCGGAGATATTTAATTGTCCCTTCCTGTGGCAGTGGTTAGTTGTTTAGTTTTACAGATGGACATATTTTTTTATGGTTGGGAAGGTGACCTGTATGGATTTAGTAAAGTTAATTTTGAGCCTCCATATTCTCAACCAGTGTTCTATTTCATTGAGGTGTTGTTCTAGTATGTTTGAAGCTTCTTGTGGATATTGGTCAGAAGCTACGATTGTCGTATCATTGGCGAAGGTAGCAATGAGGATATTGTTCATCGTCGCGAAGTCTGATATGTAAAGAGTGTATAGAAGTGGTCCTAGAACGCTCCTTGTCGGACTCCTGATAATATCGGATTAAGGGCAGATAAGGCTTGTGTTTTGACTTGGAATAATCTATCTGTGAGGTAGGATTTTAATATGGGTTAAAACGCCGATGGTAGTAGTTCCTTGATCTTGATTATTAGTCCAGTATGCCAGACTTTGTCAAATGCCTGCGATACGTCCAGACATTTATTATATTTCTGCTAATCTTATTAGCCAGTCTATGTACTTGCTCTATGGTGGGCTGTTGTGGAATTAGTTCGTTTATTGCAGGTTTTAGTCTACGAATTAACAGTTTCTCAAATAGTTTGGAAGTAATTGATAGTAAACTTATAGGTTTATAAAATGTAACTTCGTCCGGAGATTTTCCAGGCTTGTGGGTCTTTCAACTCTTAAATCTTTTAACTTTCAACTCTTTTACTGTGAGAGGTCTTCATAGTGTAACATGTGAAAAAATCGAATTTTTTGCGTTTTTTCCTAGTTTGGCATCTTAAAAATATAATCACAAAAAGATTTAATCGAAGTCGAAAAAGTAACAAAGTTAAATACATGATTCGAAACGTAGCAGTGTCGAGATACGGGCTATGTACAGTGGAAACTGTAAACACGTGTTTTCGAAGCGGCACTTCTTAAACTTCTTAAATTTCGTAAACCTCTTAAAGCTCCTAACCCTCTTAAACTTAAACTTAAACATCTCAAAAATTAGATAATTAGTTCTACGAGGGATAAATTAATTACACGTCTTATTGTCGTCCCAACGAAAAGTATATAAATATTTACGAAACTAAAAATTTGCGACTTTAAGAGCTGCCACTCTTTGCCTCACACATAGCCACACACTTGTATATACATATTAAGAATTCTTTTAATTTTTTTACTCCGATGAAATGACTATGACATACAGTATCATGAGCACTATGGGATTACTTTTCTTCTACGATATGTTCCTTCCAACACCATAACCTACAACTATTTTAAAATTGCGAGGTACTGTATGTACTTATTATTTTCTGCGGTATATATTCAACAAAATACATTAAGTTAAAAAATACTCTGTATTTCTTAATATCTATGCATTTATTATAAATCACTTATACAAAAATAACTTTAAAAATATATATTTGCTCCGACTGGTTGGTACTATCACCAGAAAAATGTGCCGATTATAAAGGGTTAATATTTTAACTCTGTTGTAAGAGTATAATGTGAACAGTTACTTTATATTCAATTAATAAAGGTTTTATAGGATTATGCGTTACACACTTTTACATACATACTTATAGGTAAAATATATAAATTAGGAATATTTATTTAACCAGCATTATTTGATGAATTGTAAGCGAAATAAATATTGAAGAAAAAATACATTGTGATTTTTATATAATGTAACTTCAACGAACGATGCAAGTTTTCCACTTCCAAACTGTTTAAATATTCCACAACATTTTCAGGAAATCCGTTTATCACAACTGTAACTTTTTCACTACAGAACAAATATCCATGTTTAGTTAAAACTTTTTTCTATTTTTAAAGGAATAGAAGTTTTTCCGTTTCGCAGATATATGTGCAAGAGAACTTTCAGTTAATACGTTGCCTTTTATAAGAGTTCTCTTGGAACAGAAAAAATAATAACTATAAAATTAAATGCATCCTCCTAGTGATGAATCTTGAAATTATTACACCCTTTTTAAACAACAAAAAATCGTACATAAAATTTTTAAATATCATTTTAAAGAAGAAAGTTCATTTTATTTATATCCATGGTAAATTCAGTTACGAAAAAGATATGACGAAGTTCGTAAAGGCGTTCGAATTTTCTAAGTTCTCAAAAAAAGCATTTTTGCGAGCAACTCTCTATTTACTGTAGAAACGTTTTTGTAAGAAATCAATGAAATACCTTGAAAACCGAGACTTTCAAGATTACTGTATAAATTTCTTCAAAAAGATATGTCGATTCAAATATCAAAAATTTTTAACGAAAACTCAAATGTCCGGTAACTTCTGGACAAAAGCATGTATTGTATGCATTAAGTTCGCCTTTAGCTATTATATTATAGCTAAACTTTTATTAATATCCTCCATTTGTTATGAAATATTGAAATTAGCATCACAATTAATTTATCTCTCATAATGACAGTAGTTTGGTTTTTTACAAATTTAAAATTACAGATACTTTATTTCATCATGATATTCATTACGGAATATGATTAAAACGTTTATTAATTTTAATACCCTAAGTAGACTAGAATTTTATACAAAACCAACGTTTTCAAGTACAAAGTAAACAAACAAAAGATAAATAAGAACTACCTTCTTTTTTTAAGAATTCTAATAAATTGAAAATAAAATAACAATATTCTTATATACATTCGAAAGTTGTTCCCTTTTATATTTTATACATTCATGTTCATTATAAATGCATAAACTTAATATTCCAGTAATAAAAAATTCTAATTTAAGCGTGACAATAAAAATAAACCAGACAATGTTGCGTCTGTACTTGTTATTAGTCAACGAAGCATCTATACGACTGTATATCCATCAGCTATAGAATATTTTACAAACATTGCGAACGCGTATTATTTCGTACAACCACAATGGCTTGAAAAGGAAACTGCTCGTCGTAACAGGAAATCCGCAACGTACCACGTGACATGAAACTTCCGATTGAAAGAATAATCTCTTGAAACTAAGAGTCTTCATTTCACCACTTTCACATATGGCATCTGGCTACATGGTTTCATATTTTAAGAAAAAGAAATATTAACCAGACTTTTGTTATACGTCATTTGAATAGAATTTTCGAATAGCGGTTATTTAAGTATCTCATATATTGTCTTACATAGAATGAGTTCGACGTTATCCTGATATAATTGTGTTTTAATATTTTTGAATAAGCTACTGAATTTCTTGAATAATTTCTGATTTTATTCTGTCGACATTATCAATTGTGTTACAAATACAATGCCTGCAGGCACTTATACATGCTCGAATCTATTCAAAGATAATTATATAAATATCCTATAAAGTAACTTTAATAAAAGATTATTTGTTAATGATTTATTTGATTTTTTCACGAAATAAAGTTACTTTCTCTATGTGATTTGTAAAATAAAAATAATAAATTAGAAGATGTAACTCAGTATTTAAAATTGTTATTTTTTATCTTTGTTTAGTATTAAATTCGAATAAGAATAAAAATATATCTTAATATAACTAGCACATCGTTTGTAATAATGTATCTTGATAAATTATACTGATTTTACATTCAATGGTAAAATAAACACTGCTTTACTATAAAAAACACGTCAACTTATATATAACCATGAACATCAACATCGTATATTACATTGATTTCATTGTTCATTAGAATAAGTGATGAATTTAAAAGTATTGTAACCAATTTAATAACAGTTAATATTTGCAAATCAATTTTGATTTTCACGTTAATCAAAACATTCATTACTAATCTTTCTTTTCTAATTCCGCACAGCATAATTGTATTATTTTAAACCTTTTACACTTCACTGGTGCTGTTATGGCAATTGGACAGCCACGCATTATTTATCCTCATAAGGATAGAACTCATTAGTAAAATTAAGCGCGTATGCAATTTACACTATGGATACTCATAAATCACAGATGAAAACACAATACTTTTATAATAATATTTAGATAATGTGATCAATAACGTCCAAAAACTGCGAATTTTGTATTAACAAAAAGTCTTAAAATGTGAAAGGTTAATTTCAGACATAAATTATGGAGAATTCATAAATACTTCCGTTGCAGTTGCCAAACCGGATGCGACAAATGGACTGCGTGTCCAATTTGGCTTGGTTCACTTCAAAAGAATGGGATGTGTATTGTACATTGAGTGCACATAATGACGTTCATTTCGCTTTATATTATATGATACAGTGCAGAGTTCACTACAAATTTTACTCTTTTTAAAACCGTAAAATTTGAATACGCGTTGTCTTATGCTAGAATATCTTCCTTAGGCATCTGATATTCGTCTAAGTTTCATAGGCAACACGACATCACAGAATATATTTCAACTTTTTCCTTTACTCACTTCCGATATTTTTTGTTCAAATATGTATAAATCATGTTTATTCTTTCCTAACAATGGCAAAACTGATATCAGAATGCTGATATTATGAAATTGAATTGAATGATATTATAACAAACAATGGCAAATATTAGGATTAATTATAAATGATTTGATATCATAGCTCCTATTAAGTTTTATCAATCAAGTTACTGTATCATTTAATTATTTAGTTACTTATGTGACTAAATATTTCGATTTAGCATTAGTTCTATTCTTATAATTGTTTTCAAGCAATTTGAAAGCTTCGATCATCATTTGCGAGAATCAATTTCAAAGCTAAATAAACAAGAAACCAATTAATGTACATAATTAATCTTTATATCAACCATTTACAAAATATTTTGTTTCAAACTGTACGATTTAAAATAGAATAGAACATTCTACAGATTTGTATGTTTGATCGTACGGTCACAAAAATCTGTACCATTGCCTGGTTCTAAGAATTCGACCTGAAATGGTAAAAACATATTTACTTACTTGCTGTCTAGATTTCACATGACGTAACAGATGTAAAATAGGAACATGAATACAATTACATACGTACATAGATATTTATATAACCTGAATTTTTCTTTTGTTTTAGACTGCTCTACATACCGGTGCTGGTTCACAGCAGCAACTCTTAGAACCCAGAATGGCGCAACTAGAAACCTTAGAAGCGAAGGTAATGAAAAAAAATCCATAACTCACTTGGTACGAAACAAAAACAAAACTTTCTCACATTTAAAATTCATTATGATGCGACACACGCTTCTCCTTGCAGTAATACCTTTTTATGCTCAGTCTTAACCGTAGAAAAACTTATGACCTTTACGTATTTGCATATAATGACTGTAAACTTCTTTATAGCATTTTTCATAGACACCTATAACAATAAAAAAACACGTTGTCCCTTGTATTAGAGTAAAATAATTTTCAACATATAAATTATCATAATTTTATAGAAGCTTTTTTTATGGAACTAAATATTTTATTACACAGTCATGTTCAAAAAATATAACTGAATTATTACTACAGCCAAAAATGTAAATAGAAACGCTGTTACGGGATAAATATAATATAAAATAACTTCTTTGTTGCACAGGGTGAGTCATTTACCAGCACCACTTATGTTTAAACTATTCATTCTATAAAAACTTATGCTTAAACTATTCATTCTATAAAAACTTATGCAAATTTTGAAACAAACATTGTATTGTCAAATTGTATTGAACTTTTTGTGTTGACAAACACTTTTTAGTCGACCGTGCAAATTTTAAATGTACCTATATACGTAAAAGATTAAACAATGAAACATAAAAGATTTACGTTTAAAGAAACCGTCAACTCTATTATTGAAAACAATTTCGATATGAATAATAACACGTTTTGTCAGGGCAATAAATATTTCAACGCACGTTCGACTTTTATAGCTGAACAAGGACGACTTTTCTAGTAAAGACTACAATTTATTAAGAATTAAGTGGCATCTAATCGGTTTCTTACTTTCAAGGTAAACTCTAAACACGTTTCACTGGTTTCACGGCGGTTATCCTCTTCAACAGTGAATAACTGATTGCGTTAAGATTATATATTCGATTTGTCGTTCCTTTACCACGGTTGTAGATACAATTCTTGCAATAATTTTCTTTCTTCGATGCAACTCCTGTTTCTCTCCAACTACGATTTCCACTTAATTCAAATCTTCTAGTCCATTTTAGATTTGTAAAGGAATCCAATAGTACATGTTAATAACCCAGGAATTGAAAAGGTTCTGAAAATAACTATTTCAAAGTGTTATACGAGGTATCATGTAACTGGTGGTAAACCGGATAAAGCCTGATTCTATGTCAAAAAATAAGTCGAAAATATAGAATAAGATTTTTTCATATGAGACTTTGATTTCGAGAAAATCGACTTGACTGTGTCACGTTACTGGATCTCACTGTTGATCATTGTCTCGATTGAAGTTTATGTTATAGACTACCAAGGTTACGAAAATGTTTACTGTACTCGAGAGTTAAAAATACACAATGAAACAGGATGTTAAAGTAATCATAAACTATATTATTACAGAAATTGTTGAATATCTTGTCCATTCTGCCGAATATATAATTCTGCTCTTCTAATGAAATTTCTATGAACGCTTTCTAATGCATTCTGTTGTTTTAATATATGAAACGCTATAAGTAGAGCGTGCGTCGATTCCCCTTGGTCCTGTGCACTTTTAACTTGTGGGTAGTTGGCCAAAACTTGAAGGGCTTACCGTAGGATAATAATTTAACATAAACTTCAATCGAGACAATGATCTACAGTGAGATCCAATAACGAAACATAATAAAGTTCACGTGTACCCGGTGAATATTCAAAGTTGATTTTCTCGAAAACAATTTCATATGAAAAAGTTTTATTTTATATTTTCAACTTATTTTTTGACATAGAATCAGCCCTTATCCGTTGTACCAAAGGTTTCATGACACCCTGTATATCGGTTCCCATTGAAACAGATATGGACAACCTGAATAAACTTATAACTATTATTAGGTGTATCAATTCTGATCTATATCGATTTCAATATCGGTTTTTCAGAACCGATGATATATCATTATCGGTTCCCGTTCTTATTCTGACCACTTAACTGGTTAACAGTTCAACGAGAAAACTTTAAATGGTAAGCTAACTTTTTCAATGATCGATTATCTATTTTCATAGAAAAACATGTGATTCTCCTTCGTTTCGCTTTAGTTTCTCGTTAGAATATAATATAACTGCATTTCGCCTGCATTTGACGAATATACACTTCATTATTTAATTTTACAACGCGCACAATAAGAGATTTGTGAAACTAAATTCGACACTTAACAGCTTAAATAAAATATACAGCAAAAAATTCTATGCCGTCTTCGTTGTCGATTCTCTATGAACATATAGCAAATAATGGATAAATTTATAACTAAAATTTATAACTAATACATGATTATTTCTGTAAAATGATTGTAAAATGTATATGTATTTCACGCACAATATTACGTTGAACTGAACTATAGTCAGAATGCAGAACTGACATTGACAGTTATAAAATCGATATAGAACCGATATCACGTGTGTAAACAGGCGTGTTGAAATTATTTTTAAATTCTGACAACTTTTACCGAATTTTCATTAGTAGCAATATTGTCGTTGAAACTGTTAGCTTCCACATGACAAAATGACGATGTTAGTCGTGTATATATAGGGGTTTAAACAATGTCCACGAATGATATAACGCTTTCTTTCTTACAGTATAATTACGATAACGAATTTGCATAAAAGACCCGTTCTTGTGACAGCCTTTTTAACCATGTCTTTTTTTGTTAGTATAATTTACAAACAGAATTAATCAAACGAAAGTTTTAAACGCAATTAAACAAATATAAATAGTATTGTCTTTTTCCAGCTGAAATCCGTAACCATTTTCATGCTGTCCATGTCGAATGTTTAGAATAAATAATTTACAGTAGAAGCAAAAATAATTCTGATAAGTGTAATAGTTTCAAAAAGTCTGTGCACACGTGCCTTTTTGTTTTTACTAATCTGATGATTCTCCTTTGATCTAAATAATTTCTTAGATTTGTATTTGCACGATAGTAACTGATTTTGCGGTATCATTGAGCTCAACACTATTGTATTTTATTCAAACAACAGTGTATTTTTAAAATTATTTTGAAATGCTATTGGAATTTAAGTACATTTTTATTTCTTCCTACACGTGCATTATAGAGTTCATATTCGATAACATGGAAACATAAAACTACTTTGATATATTATACATTGAATATATAAATATGTACATATTGTTACATAGGTAGATATTTTTGCATTGTATAACCATTCCTGTTTTTGCAGTATATTTTGAGCCATTTTCTTATTGTAAGGATAAATAGATGACTGAGATTCAGTTTTTGCACTGTTTTATGTAAATAATTTCCTAAAATGTCTAAAGAAACATTTTGATCCACAGTTCCACGAATAGAAGCTAATCTTCCCGCCTCATCCGAATCATATACTTTAATTTTGGACACAGACTGTTAATTTTAAGTTTAATTAATTTATTAATCAATTTAATGATTAATTGATTCATTTGATTCCATTTTTTTTACTTTTGAATCAATTGTTTGACCTGGAAACTCCAACTCTTTTTCACGTCTATTTTTTCAAATTGCATTTGCCTCTTTTTATTTATTTTATTATTACAATGTAGGTCTTCGTCTAAGTCAAACATCTATTATATCTAGTTGTTATTAGTATATTTAATTGTTTAAGATCAAATAACTAAGAACTCTATTGTTTTTGGCTTTTTCCTAACAGTTCTTAAAACACTACTCTTGTATTGAAATTCCACGTTGCTGTATTGCAGTACGGAATAAGACTTGTTAACTTTTTTCCTATTTGTCTGTGTCGATGCTCTACTTTTCCTATATTAATAATAAATTCATAAATTGTGACTGTTATTTCTATTGCAGTATACATATGTTTTTAAAACATAATTGTTACTTATACTTGTTAATACAAAAGTGACATAGAATTCATAATACAATAGTATAATACAGAATAGTATTCATTCATATTAACTACAATTTACTAGGGAATTAAACAATAAAACTATTATCTACTTTTACGTAAATATGAAACACCAAAGTGATTTTCAATGAATCTACATTTTTTGAATCGATAAAAATGATCTAGTACCAGTAATAAAAAATATTTTAACTACAAGCCTGTTTCTGAATCAAAATTTGATTAATTCTTTATCATCGTTAGAAAATACTGTAGAAAGTTTGAGGTTGTTGATAATAATAAATGTGAAAATCACTCAAAGTTGATAAACAAAGACAATAACGAAACAGTTTATTAATAAAAACTATAACAAAAATACATGACTTTTTACAAAACTGTCGAGTGAGCTGAACAAGGACTTACTACCATATATGCTAAAATTGGCAGGAGCATAGCATGTAACGACAAAATACGTTTATATACTATTAAAATCAACAAAATTCTACCATTTTATACTTACAATTCAAACAGTTTATTTCTACTGAACACTGATTTACACTGATATATACCTACCTTTGCACGACGCTGTTTAGCACGTTGAGCTATACTATTGAATTTTATGTGCAAAATAATTTACTACCTCATTTCATACACTTGACCGAAGTTAGGAATGGCGTTTGAACCGTTTAGTGCAACCGCATGTAAAGTTAAATTTGAAAAACCTGTTGTAAATTTTGATTAAAAAACTCCGTCGAGTTTCTAAAAACTATTTCGTTCACGCTCTTTAAGAACTATAACTTGCAATACATAACATAAGAATAACATTTTTATAAACATTTCTCATATTATCTGTAAAAATATTGAATAAACATTTAATTACTCAAATAATTACATTCCCATTTAATTAATACTTTATTCGTTTAAATATTCATTCAACAATAACAGCCGTACGTTATTTACCGTGTTAATTACACTGCCAACTACAGATAGCTGACATTCGAAAGCTTAGCTCACAATTTATTTACAATTGAACTATTCTCTCATTTTTCTGTCTAGAGAATATTTCTCGCTTCCATTATCATTCTTTTCTTTGTCGAGTATGCTTTCGCAAGTGTTCGCAAAAAAGACAAGTATAAGGAAGAAGTTTTTAACCGTACCATCGGAAGAAACCGAAGGCAATGTTTCACGGTTATTGGTGGGTACGCAATAGCCCCCGGCTTCTTAAGGCTGTCCAACCAGTGATTTATATGCAGATGCACGAGCCGAACTGTTTCGTTTCGGGCCCCTCACTCGAGTTTCGGGCCCCGAGACCGTACCCGTGCGGGTGCTATTAAAACTGCCCCACGTCCACACAAGGATGCGCAATGGCGCAGCATTCTCGAAACCTATTTTTTAACGTCGAACGATTTCCAAGGAATTCATGGGATTTTACTATGACCAGATTGGCAAAACCAGTATATTAGTTAGCATTCTGCGAAGATTTCTTTACAGTGAACCTTAACATTTGACAATAATTATTAAGACTATATATTTATAATCATGAAGTAATGAAATTTATAATTTCGTTATAAAAAAGAATTGAAAGTTTCATTTCATATGTTTTAACACAATCATCATAAAATAATAAATACTGCAGACGAAAATTAAAGAAGATTGTTCAAATATTCTTCTTCTTCTAGCAACATTTTGGCCAATTCGAATATGCGTTTACTTTGTCAAAAGAAGTGTAAATTATTTAGTAACTACAATTATTTAGTTTCACCTTATTATTATATTTTTGTGTAAATCGATTAATATTACAATGAACAAACTCAGTAAAGAATACTTGTTACTCCTACAACGAAAGGTTTAAGTTCATTTGTATCAACCGTTTGTTGGCAGAAGATTGTTCCGTTCATATCAATTAATTATCTAATGATATAAAACTATGAACGAATCTTTATTTTTTTTGTTTTAAAACCAAGTCAGAAATTTAAACTGCATTTCTAAATACTGATCACTGGAAAACTATTATATTTGTTTAGAATTATTTCTTTTTATTTGGTAATAAAAAATAAAATACTATTGAAAAACTTATTTTTTAACAAACTCAAGGATGAAGTTATTGAAATCAATTCTTTTCACCGTCTTGTAAGGTATCAGCCTTATAAAATTGGTATAATTAAATTACTCTTTAAGGTTATAAAGACTGTTCCTTCCAATTGCGCATTTATGTCTGTGTATAATATTAGTAATTGGAGCTAAATTATATAACAAAGTAAATTCTTGTATCATGATTGGATAAACGCTGTGTCATAATGATTCTACAAGTAACACTATTAACTTAGAATAGGCACATCAAGACAATCTCTAAGATCTACACTAGTTATTACGCCCATTAGAGTAGGATCAGATATTGAGCAATATTATCAACTTAAGACTGCATTTATCAGAGATCAATAAAGATTGATAATTACAAAATACTAGCCCTCGAGTGTTAAATGTCACTTCCAACAACACTTATATCGATCTATTAAGTAAATATATCGTATGTATTTAATAATAGAAAAGTTATCATCATGATACTTCAAACCTTGTGATACATTTAGATACTAATATTTCTGTTTATGCACTTTATTGTTTGTAGATTTTTATAGATATTCATATATAAATATTTATAATAATAAAATTTGTTGTAAATATATTGTGCATATTTTATATATTGAATCGATGAATTTTTCCGATATTTTTAGTATGATTGCAATTTAAATTATTAATAGCCTCTCTTTTAGGAAACTTATAACTTGAAATATAAAATTGATATTGTACGGCGAACAGAAACGATTCGAGTTAGAATCAGGATTCGCTATTAATTTACCTATTAGCATATTATGAAGCCATAACTCTGAATAACAATGCTAGATTTCACACGTCATAGAACACTATAGCAAATTTATTCAAATCAAAATATTATTACTCGCTAAATACTTTCTCGATAAATGATCATGTTTTCTGTCATTTAAAGCTGTTTAAAAAATGCTTCATATTCCATAAACGTACAGAAAATTTCTCGAAACAAAAAATGCTAGTAACTATAAGGATAGCGTGCATCTGTTAACATTTCATTGAGAAAAGTCATTACTGTTAATGATACGTATTTTCTGATACATTCTCTAGATCAATCATATTATTAAATTTAAATGAATATTTGTCCTTTCTACATTGCAATCTACGGTTTACAAATATAAAGCTATCAATAAAAAATAGTTATCATTAATATTCTATTTTTTCAAATTAATATTAGTTAATGTTATAAAATCTATTTTAAACCAAGAAATCTAAACGGGTTGCAGGTTGCGTATGTAGTGCATAATATATATTACGCATTACGGAATCGTTTAGATAATCTGGAAGAAAGTAATTCTACCGGAAAATTAATATAACAGTACATAATTGTCGAGGCTCACCTGTTTCCGAATATTGATGATACAACCTCTGCTCATAATTTACATTTAATCGAAATTAATGATAGTAGAGTGTTTCCTGTACCTCAGCAATATCTTCATCTTCTATTATTTGTATCAAATTAGTGGTGTAAAACAATATCGGAACATATTGCTTTACTAAGACTAGTACATTAAACGGTGCTCTTATGCAGGTATGCAGATATTATATATTCCCCA